TACTCATCTCCTTTCTTCCTCTAGACCCCAATGCATCACAGAAATATCTTTGTCCTTGTAGCCTCTGTACACTTGGTTTCTCATCTAAGATTCTCAATTTAGAAGTAACATGAACTAAAAGGCAATTCACAATTTCAACTCACACCTTCCTAATAGGTTTCAGTTTGGTGAAAATACAATAAGGGTGGGTTGCGTGTATGCTATCAACAATGTTTTTTCTTAAGCAGCAGGAAAGATGGTCAGGGTCATTTCTTGTAAAAAGTTTCAGGTCAGTCTTTATGCTCCTAAATACTTCCAAATAGAGCAGGGGTAGGCACATGCTTGGATAATGATTGATTTGACTCTTCTTGGAGACTTTAAGAGACTCCATAAGCCTGGGTGTTGGTGGCACACACCTCAGGAGACAGAGGCAGACAGATATCTGTGAGTTTGAGTCCTCCAAAAAATACAGAGAATCTCTGTTTCAAAAAAACAAAAAAAAAGACACTCCACATGCTGAGAGTGATGGAAGTTTGGATTTGACACCTCCAGATGGTAGATAATGAGGCACACTGAGTTCTCCATTATAGCCAGAACTCGGATTATTACCCTCTGGTTCCTGCAAATTATGAGAAGTGGGAATTCTGAAATAATGTCTCCCTAAAGCTTTACCAGGTTCCTTCTGTCTGAATATCTACCAAAATGAGCATCTACAAACCACCCACACTCTGTGAGCTAGCAGTGCAGAGCCTGCTCTGGAACGAGGCCACAGCCATCTCTACTCTGGAGTACTTGCCAATTAATCTCTTCCCACAAGTATTTAAGGAGGCCTTCACTGGTAGACGCATGGGGTTACTGAAGGCAATGGTGGTTGCCTGGCCATTTTCCTACCTTCCTGTGGGGGCCCTGATGAAGACACCAGATGTGGAGTTGTTCCAAGCTGTTCTGGATGGTGTAGATATTCTTCAGACACAGAAGGTTCGTCCCAGGTAAGCAAGACCCACGTGGACAAAAGGGGAGTTGCTGAGCTAGAGGTAGGATATATGTAAAAGGACAGCGAGAATGTGGTCAAAGTGGACAGAATGTGGTCTGTGCAGCTTCTACTCATGTTGTGACTTCATGCAATGACAGAAGTGGATGAGAGCTCAGAGTAGATGAAACCACAGTGTAGTGAGCTATCCATGGGTCTCCTACATCCATTTTATGTTTTGGGGAATTTTTGGGGGTGTTGTCTCTTTCTTTTGTGTTTTTTTTGTGTGTTTTTTGGTTTGTTGAGACAGTGTTTCTCTGTGGCTTTTGGAGGCTGTTTTGGATCTAGCTGGTATACACCAGGCTGGCTTCGAAGTCACAGAGAATTGCCTGACAGGTGAGAGGGATATGTTGGAGCTGACAAGAGAGAAGCTGGACAGAGGCTATTGCTGAGGTGGATCCTGTTTACATTATGAAATTGTACCTTTTTCCTCACAGAAGTTGGAGGCTTGGAATACTTGATTTGAGGAATATGAACCAGGATTTCTGGGATGTATGGGCTGGGAGAGACTGGTACTACTCAACAGAGACTGAAAGGAATGCACAAGTATGCAATGAACTGAGGCAGGATTTGAAGGTTGTCACTGAACTTAGTCTCAGTTCCCACCTGAAAGAACACCAAGCACACTTGTTGCATTGGGCCCAGCAGAGGAAAGACTGTGTGCGGCTGTGCTGTGTGAAGATGAAGATTTGTGACTCTCCAATCGAGATTATCAAGGAGGTCTTGGACATTTTCCCACCAGATTATATCGAGGAATTGGAGCTATACACAAGCCAGGTGCAGCCCTTCCTTTGTCACATCGCACCTCATCTTGGCCGTATGACAAGACTTCACAAATTGAATGTAATTCACATGGTCTTGAACATACACACAGTCAAAAATACCTTGGCGGATATAGAGATGTTTCCTGTCCAGTTTCTCTCTCATTTCTGCAACTTCAACTCCCTCAAGCATCTTTCCATTGATGGCATATACTTCCTCCCGGGCCACATGCAGGTTTTGTTTGGGTAAGGAATGATGGAGAACTGTTTCTACTGTTTCAGCAACCCCTTTCCCATTATTTCAAGTATTAGTGTACCGTGGGGGTGTCCCAGCCATTGGGGATTTAACAGTGATGGACTCATCACAGTATCCAAGTGTGGACATGTATCCTTCTTAACTGAGGTTACTTGGTTCAATGACCAGCAGTCAGAGCTGGGGTAGGAAATGTTTAGAGAGCTGAATTGAAAGCAGTTCCATTGGGTGTGTCAGACACATTGAGTGTGCTGTGGACATTCCTTCTTGAGATCCTCGCTATGCTAATGGGAAGGGAACAGGGCAGAGTAGAAAGTCCTGAAGTGGGAAGTACCCACACCTGCATGGGAACCTAAGGAACTCTGTACCCAAATCTGTGAATAGGGGCCAGCTAGTTCTTCTGGTGCAGCCTGTCTCAGCCTCTAAGTCCCTCTGGAGAGAAGGAAACATAAATTTAAATTCTAATTACTGAAGACGAGTATCAAGGCATTTTGGGTTTTGTACACAGTCAAGGACTTCAGGTAAAAATCAGCCTCCGCGAACACTAGCCAGCTTTGCTCTTAGGCTCGAGGTTATTAAACTGCTCAGATATGTGTGAAACTGAGGCTATTTTGCGTCAGAGCTCCACTGCAGTGTAGGCTAGCTTGATCATTTGGCCACCCTCCTGACTCATGCTCTGGGCATTTCGGATTATAGGTTTCCAGGCCTGCTCTCCTAGGGTGTTTATGTCTCATGGGCAAGTCACAAGGCCCAGGAACCTGGCCATGCTAAAACCCTGCAGGGCATGGTAGGCAACGTGACAGCAGGTGAGCTAAGCAAGGATGAGGAAGTGAGTCTGGCACCTTGCAGGAGATTACTCATGCTGCTTTCCTGAGAGCAGAATTTTTGCCACCTTCTTTGTCCAGCTGAAGTTCAACCCAACTGCTGTCACTTCCCATCCGGGTAGGCTGTGGAAACCCAAGCATCTGTGGGAGGGGAGGTAGTTAGACAGAAAGGCCATGTAGCTCACAACATCCATGCTGTCCAAGTCCCGGTCGCCCGCACGGACAGCTGGAGAGCATGGGATCGTAGCAGTGCACACCAGTCTACGGGGGTCTGCGCGGGTGTGGCCCATGCTGCCAGCTCCAACTGGTCCTGGTCCAGGAGGCCACCCTGTTGCCTCCCAGCCCTGTCCCCAGGGTGTCAGCACCCTCTTCTGTCACCCCACCACACCTAAGCAAAACTTTTCCCTCGCCTCCCCAATTCAAACTCTGCTGCTGCGTCCAAGCTGCCATAAACCGCCCCAGCCCTAACAACAAGGTTAGGTCATAGATCAAGCACCGCTAGGTGTTAGGAAGGTGAAGTCGTAAAGCTGCAAGTGTCGTAAACCAGGTACAGTGGGGGAAGGGGAGGGGTGGAGGCGTCAGGTGGGGGAGAAGGGGCAGGAGGGAGGGAGGAGGGGAGGAGGTAGGTGACTGGAGCATATAGACAAAAGCGAGAGGATCGTGGCGGTTGGCCCCATGTGTAAGTGCAGAAAGCAGGCGAACCCTCGGCACAATAATGGTGAGTAGCGGAGTGGCCCGGCGCAGCAGCGGGCGGCCGGGTGAAGGCGCGGGGCCGAGCAGACTGGAGGCGGCAGCGGGGCCGGGCCGAGTGGAGTGGGAAAGTAAAGTAGTTCGCCCCACTGCCGCCGCCGCCGCCATCCTGGACCATTATGTCTCACCTGCCTCTGCGTCTAGCGGCTCCTGCAGCCACCGGGACCATTAGCCGCGCCGCATCCTGCTGCCGTGCCCGGCCACATTTCCGTCTGCGGGTGGTGCGGCCGTTGCTTCTTCCCGCACTTTCTCCACTGTTGCCGCCCCTCTGCGTCTCCCCGTGCGCGATCCTCCCTCCGTGCAGGCCTCGGCGGCAGGGAACAAACTTGCTGCAGGTGGGCGCGCGCTGCGGGGCCACCGCGGGCCGGTTGCATGTCTCCCGTGCGCGTGTGTGCATGGGAAGCGCCCGCGGTAAAGTTGCGCCGCGCGCTCATGGGCGGGAGGGTGGGAATGTGGACGCGCGGGACCGCCGCTAGCAGGGCGCTCGCAGGGCTGGAACTCACCACGTGCGGTGACCTTAGGGGGCTGAGCAGGGTCGGGCGGCTCCTAGCTGCTGCCGTGGGGCAAGCATGTGCGGGATTTCACCGCCTGATGCTCGCGGCTGGGAAGCAACAGAGACTGGTCGGGACGCCCAGGCAGCCAGAGTCCCCGCGGGCACTGGGCTGTGTGCATGCTCCTTGCTTTGACTCTTTGGGTTTGGGTTGTTACCTGGGCTGGACGGGCAAGCCCAGGGCAGATAATGTAGTTGGGCTGGCGCTCGGGGTATCAAGTTGGGCGGGTGGGGGAGGGGGCAGGCGCACAGGGCCCATGGGCGCACAGGGCTCAGGCTGGCTCTGCAGCTGCCTGGGGTATTGATTTGCACGGATGTGCCAGGGAAATACTCCTCAGCCTGGCTGCAGAGTTTTTTGTTGTTGTTAGTCATGTTGGTCTTTTTTTTTTGTGTTTTATTTTGTTTTAAGAAAGAGGGAAAGCCACAGGCACCAGGAGAGCATTCGACATGACAACCTGTATTGGTGGGTGCATCATGGGCTCTCCCAGCGTGGGGAGACAAAAGAGTTGCTGGATGATGCCTCTCCTAGGCAAGTGTGTGCTCTAGGCTCGAGGTCCAGACAGCCATCTGCTCTTGGTCTTTGGACAGTCCCGCAATGGCGGGGTCCTGGGGATGCCCCCGCCCCTGTACCTGTGTTTTGATGGGAGGCCACAGCCTTGTGCTGCTGAGACCACTGCTATATAAGGAATTCCTAGTAGGAATGCTCCGGGGGGGCTCCCTCGGGGCATTAAACAACAAGGTTTTTTTTTCTTTTTTTTTTTTTAAAGAATGGGGCGAATAAATGTGCCCCTGATGGCATCCATGTGGCCTTCAGAGAACTAGGAAATCCTGTTTCAGTGGCAACCCTGGCGCACTCCCTGTGCCCCACCCCAGCTGGGTCTGTGTTGCTCTCTCCGCTCCAGGATGCCAGATTTTGTAACCTTTCTTGGCAATTTTAGATTTTGTGTGGGATTTCATGTAGAAGCAGATAGAAAGATTTTAAGCTGTTCCAACGAGGTTTCCTCTCGGTTGTAAACACATTTTGAATATATCTGAGCCTACATTAAAATCCCCACTACCATGAATGATTTTCAGTTGTTCAGGAAAACGTTGCCTTTCAGAGAAGCTGCTTTTCAGAACCCTAGTTACAGAGTAGTAATGTAAGACTAAAAGCTGGTGTGCAGAAATCTTGACCACCCTGAAGCCTGAGGGAAACACAATGCCTTCACAAGGCACTTCAGCAGATGCCTTAGCAGTTTGCATGACACATGATGGCATTGTAAATAATGGTGTGTTTGCATGGGTGTGTGCATGCCACGGCACACATGTGGAGGGCAACAAACAACTTTGGCCCTCTCCTTCACCTTCATGAAGGCTCCAGAGATCAAAGTTAGGTTGTCAGGCTTCTGTGATAAGCCCCTTTACCTGCTGAGCAATGGCACCAGTCCCAACAAATACTTAAGTGAAACTTGAGAGTCTAGTTTAGTTTTTCTTTTTGAAGTAAAGTTTGCATCCTAATGTACTCACTATGCCATGGTAAAGAGCGGAGCACTTTTTGAAGAGTGCAATGAAATATCAAAAAAGTAGAAAATCACTTGTTATAAAATAATCTTTCTTCACTGCCTTTTAATGTATTTTCTTTCTAAACTGCAAAAGGAATTTAATGAATCTTGCTAGGTTACACACATGTCATTCAAGTCTTAAAAACATAAGCATGCATGTTTAATAAGCTATCATTCTCAGAATATTCTTTGTTGACTCAGCCTTTTCCTGGGAGTTAGGTCAGCTTTGCAGGTTTCTAGGGTGTTAGCTCTGTAGCACCTTAGGATAGCTAACCCTTGACAAATCAGGTGTCATGCTTTAGGTGAGAGCATTTCTAATATTCAGTATTGCCCCACTTCCTTTTCTCCAGGCTCTCAGGCTTATCTTTGATTGGTCTTGAACTCCGGATAGACCAGGATGGTCTTGAATTCAGAGATCCACCTGCTGTTGCCTCCTAGATGCTGAGATTAAAGGCATTCACCACCATGCCTGGGGTGCACTTTTCTACATCACCTTGTAGAGATTTCTGTTCTACTGGTACGATACAGTTCATCTGTGATGGTTCAGACTTAAAGTCTGTCTCAGATGTAGGAAACTTACTGTATTTCTTATTTTTAGTCTCATAATATGATAGGAGAAAGTTAATTGCACAATACTAGTTTTATTTTAATCGCAGTGGGGTCAAGCATGTAACTAAGTGGAATAGTGCTAATGTAATATGCACAGGGCCCTAGACAGCATCCCCAGTACTGAGAAAAAGGGTTTTGTGTGCATGTGGAGGCCAGAGGTCCATCTTGGGTATTCTAGATAGGCATCCTAGTTTTTTAGATTGTTCTAATTTGGATCTGGGATTCACTGATTCGACTAAGTTGGTTGACTGGCAAGTCTTAGGTGTTTGCCTGTCTATGCTTCCCCAGTGCTGGAATTTTAAGCATACAGTAGGAACACTCCTGACCATGTATTTTAGCTTTTGCATATTCTGTTTAAAATATCCTTTTAACTGAAATAGTATTATTTCAAATTTCCGCTCTTTCATCCCTTTATCCCCTCTCATATATCCTCCCTCCTAGCCTATCTATGGACCCCTCATTTCTCAAGTTGATAGCCTGTTTTTCTTGTATAATTATTGTATTTGTGGTGAGTGTGTGTGTGTGTACAAATACACACAATACACACCAAGTTTTGAGTGCACTTTTGTTGCTTGTGTGTTGATGTCAGAGTTGACAACTCTGCTCAGGATAACCAATAAGGGCCTCATCTCTAGGATAGGCTAAGTTTTCTCACAGCAGTTGGTAGTTGTCTGTGGTTCTTTGTCTAGAGGTGAGACCCTGAAAAATTTTCCCTCTTATGTATTAACATGTGCACTGTTATGGTCTTGGTTTTGTGACTATTTCTAGGAGAAAGAGTTTAACAGAAGACACTTCTTGGTTTTCTGGCTTTTAGTCCTTTCTGCCACATGTCCTGCAGTGTTCCCGAAGTTGTAGATGTAGAAGCTG